GGTAAATCGGTTTTTTTGCAATCGTAGTCCGTAAGTAGGGAAAATGATGGGTATATACTGCACATATAGAGATCGCGGCGCTAATAGGATCTAAATGTGAGAGGGGGGGAAAGAAAAAAAGCGTCATGTAGCATGAGAGGAGGAACAAACGAGTCGCCTGCGAGTGACAGGCTTGTCTTTCGCTCTTTCGAATCTACGGCTCGATCTCCCGGGGACAAAGTGTGTGAATGAATTGGCTCTTATCGCCGGGACGTCTGGAGAGCTAGTCGATTGAAAGGAAAAAAAAAAAAAAAATTAAAAAACTAAGCGAAGAGAAAATGAGGAAAGCAGGGGGGGTCCCATTGAAGGTACATAAATCGATTATAAGCCACTCTTCGGCCGAACAATTAATCCCGAGCAATTACGAAAGCCCGGACGGCCACGTATACTCGCCGGGAGGTATCGACCCTCGGACTCAAAGGCTTGCTCTTTCGCCTTTCCCCGCATACAGGTATATATATATATATATATATATATATACACACGCGAGCCCTCGACAGAGACCTGTCCGCACCCGATGAATATGAGCTACTTATACACGTGGACGACGCGCTGTCACGTCCAACGCGAACAGAACTAATTATTACTTGGCTCTACTCCGGGACTGGGGATGTAGATACATATATGTATACATGCACGTGTAAAATATACCCCACTTTCCGTCAAATCCTCTCCGACAGCTCCTCGACTCTCTTTCCATTACAATTGTCCGATGACACGTGAGAGACGCTCAATTCTCGGGTCCACGTTTTTTTACCATTTTTATTTCGCTCTCATTCTTATAATGATTCAGTGCTTCATTTTTTTTAAGTTTTTTTTTTTTTTTTTTCAAGTACACTTCAACTCTACTGTACGCGAGGAAATTTTTTCCGTTTCAATGTACGTATATATACATATCAATAGTTTATTTTGGATTGCAGGAGTCACAGCGAGCTGATTTTCTCACCCACTGTATATAGTGAAACGATGGTGTATCCAGAAGAAAAGGGGAGCATAGATCATTAATTTGATATGCGGGGGTGGGAGTCCTCGAGGCAAGTCGACAAGCTTTTGCACTATAACAACCATGCATATATATTTATGCAAGGGGATAAAAACGGCACTCTACGTCCCTTTGGCTCCTTCCGTATATACATATATACTGTTTCTCATCTTGTACTACTGTTACATGCACAACGTGTATAGTGTCGCATCAGGTGCTCTCCAGCTGGTCTTCTTGTCCCATATGCGCCTCCCTTCATCACAATGCATTATAATCCTCGTGACCCGCTATGAGTACTTGTATATACACCCCCTTTGGTAAATTTCGTCGAGTCATACCTATATACCCCTTGTTCGTCGATCGTTGTCCTTCTACGGTGTATATACGTTATTACGTGTAAATGTGACCAGAAAAAGTTCGATTCGGGCGTGATTGATAAAAAAAAAAAAAAAATTTACCCAAAGCTTCGCTCGACGTATCGTACGACTAACATCGGTGATCGAGGTATAGGGTATATGTGGCGTAGATTTTTATTGACTCGAAACTTTGGACTTGTGTCGGAGCGCAGTTTTTAGTAAAATTTCGTTCGTTCGATGTATACGAAGCACAGGGGATTTTTTTTTTATCGATAAATTTTTCTTTCTGGTCTTTAATTTTTTTTTTTTTTTTTTTTTTTCCATGCTTTTGTATTCAACCTGCGCAATTTATATGTTATCTTGCTGTCTTTAAATGTCGTTAAATTTATTTGCAAATATGCGGGTTGAAAAAATGTAATATATTATATTGCGTGCTTACACGTCTAATTTATGCAATCTTTTGTAGGGAAAAAACGCGCAAGTCCAAACCAAGCTAAGAAAATTTTCATCTGAGAAAATTTACACGGCTATTGTTGCAACCCAAAAGTTGATGAAAAAAAATCTGTTTAACGCTAGACAAATCATTGTATGATTAATTGCCCACGGGTTGTTTTTCAACGGTAAAAGTAGTGGGAAAAAAACAGTACCCGCAGTTTTCCGATTCCTCGACATCGACAACTCGCATATTATCGAGGAACAGCCGTAAGTGCAAATAATTTACATGCTTTGGGAACGCGGAAAACAACGTTGCGTGCGCTTTTTGATGTACCTATCCATTGATAAATGTGAATCGGAAAGCATACTCTCACAAGTAGGTATATATTTATACGATCAATGGTGGATATAGCCCAATGGGATCTATTTTTCTGCGCAGACGTGCTAGAAAACAAGTGTAAAATATTTTTAATTGATCTGAAAAATTACGTTTACATGCCGATAGGACGCGTAAAATGAAATAAGCACTATACGGTCGGGAGTAAACCGAGGAAATGAATTTCCCGTTGTAAGTATAGGTCGGTGTTGTACCTACATAAGAGCACAAGACAGATAAATACAGGTATAGGTATGTACGAGTAAGTAGACTCAAAAAGGTAGAATGTTGATGTACACAAAACACATATATAGAGGAATTTGAGATACGCTCTGGATGCGACGCGAGATGGAAAGAGTGGCCGAGGAGGTCCCGATAGGCGGAGTCTGACCTCGCCAATCGACGATTTGCGCCGCCCCCAAGCGCTTCACCCCCGCGAGCACGCGCTCTCTGCCGCGTAATGTACGACCAGCCGAGGTCGGAGTGCATGCGAGTCGAGCTCTCTCTCTCTCTGATGTTGTCGGGACGCCTTGCTCTCTCCACTGTTGTTCCGCGCGCGCGCGCGCGCGACCGCCTGTATAGGTACCGACGAAATGNAAAAAAAAAAAAAAAAAAAAAAAAAAAAAAAAAAAAAAAAAAAAAAAAATCGAGCTAAATTCGGGAACGGAGCCGTGAGCGATATACCAGCTCAGAGGTGAGCTGCATGCGGGTGTCAAATCGCGCTCGATTTCCCTTGTCAGCCACTCACCGCTCGCCCACCCTCCTTGCATGTATATACGTATATACCTATACCGGAGCGAAGCCTCGAAACGCCCTCGAGGCTCTTAATGCATTAAGATGAGTGTTGTGTACTCCACTGCAACATCGCACCCTAGAGAGAGAGAGAGAGGCGCAACCCGAAATCCATCCTTGGCGCCATCTCGCCGTGCATATTATACGTAGGTACACATAAGTATACCCTCCAAAATACAGCGCCGTTCAATTAGATCTCAATTAATTAATCGACGCTAGTTGAAGGAAGGAAGGGTTTTCTCCCTCGTCGTATTCTCATCTCACTCCTCGGCTGTGGTCAAGGCTATATTCACTATAATCCATATATCCTGCTGCCACTGTCGTGGAATGAACCTTTGCGAGCATCTTATCAATTGAAACATGTGTGGACTTTCTTTTATACTCTGTACACAACTTTACCCTCCTTTTGTTCAATTGTACATTATCGGCTCGATCAAAAATCGGTAAGACGATCGTTCCACTACAACAACCCGTCTCGCGTGAAAAGTAACTGGAGACGTACAGGATGAGACAGATAGTGCATTGAACACATCAAAGGATTTATTATTCTACCTGATAGTGAAAAATTGTGTAAGAAAATCATGGACAGCAAGTATGGTAATGTGTACCTGTAAAGTATAATTTACACTGCGTATACATTTGATGATAATTTTCACGAGTTTCCGCGCGGGCTTACGCGAAATTTCAAAGCGCGAATGATTTCGATTGAAAATGGTTTTAAAATTAATTTTAAAACATGTAAACCTGCTTTAGTGGTCCAAAAGGGGGTTTTCGATCGCGGCTACTTTGCCAAACTTGTCGGTTATCATGCAAATTAACTCGAGTTGTTAATAACTAGTTGAAATCATCAATAGCGCGAAATTGGAGAAACATTTTGGCTTTATACCCACGCTCTGTACATATACGCCAACGTTTACATATAGCAAATAATTATGTGAGCCGTTCGAGTGAATTTGCAAAGTTTACGATACAACGTTCGAAACTTGATATCAAATATGCATTTCAATAACTCCAGCGAAACAAAATTGCGCTTACGCTGATATTAGTTTTGATAATTGCAGCAACGCTAAAAGCGACATTCCTTGGGTTTGAAAAAAAAACTACTGAGCGTAATTGCTTCGCAGTTGCACGAAAAATGCTACTTGAAATTTAATTGCAGCGAAAGGGTAGGGGAATGTATATAAAAAAAAAAAAAGTAGGAGATTCTTCCCCCCTATTAATTCGAGAACGCGGTCTCCAGAAGGACAATTTCATACCCACTGGCTAACAATTCGGTATACGCGCGCGCCTCCTCGTCAAAAGAGTTAATTTCTACGAAAATTCCTTTGTCTCGGTGCCGTGGGGGGAGAGGGTGACAGTGGAGAAAGACCCACTTCCCTCGACTCGATTATTTCATTTTCTCGCGGCGGAGCGCGTTAGGATGTGTATGTATATACCGCAAACCCAAAAGAGCCGAGCAGAGGCGCGAGTAATTTAGAAGAGCTCCAAGGGTTTCCGGAACAATGCGCGCTCCCCCTGGCCTGACAAATGACGAGGAATCGAAGTCAGCTGTAGTAGGCCCATACTCGTCTCTCCCTCTTTCTGGCGGCGATTAATTGTTACGCGAGAAAGCGCTCGAAAAGTTTAATTGAGCGTGAGTAATATTCGAACGGGAGCTTGGATTTCCGCGCGCGGTCAAATCGCCTTTTAATTGTCCTCGCACGCGCTTGCGGATTTCCTCTTTTCTGAGACTTCGGAGTGTGAAGAGCGCGCTGAATCGAAGGGACGAAAAATCATTCCGCGGGACAAAGGGCAGCTGCAGTTAAGCTGCAGCAGAATCGCATAACTCAGCGGTGTGACGTGAGATGGCCTCTATCGTTCCAGAGACGGAGTCATTGATTGTGATGGTGATTTAAAGTCGAGAAGTCGGCCTGGAATTTATATGAAATTCAATTGTTTATTTCTACACTTTAATACACACTTAATACTTCTTACAAAATTAAAGACTCAAGTTATTTTACATCTTGGGCGTGACATATCGACGCTCTTTTGTCTGGTTGACAAGTGTAAGTATCTAAAAAGCATTGTAATAATTGTTGCAATGATAACATTCAAAAAAATATATATATGTACAGAGTCAAAAATATCTGCGAGACTACAAAACACGGTGTAGTAGACTGGCTTCCCTTTTTTACACTCAAGAACTTTGTAGATCGTCCCTGTCCTCGATGTTACTTCCACTCGGTACGCGAATCTGTACCAATTGTAACCCCTTATTTTCCTGTGTGAGAAGCTGTTTGATGTCGGTACCCCGTGGCAAAATAATGGTGTTGCCTTCATCATCCTGGTAACCATAAACTTCTTCCACGTTCTGATCATCTTCCTCGTCTTCGCACTTCATCACACTGGATTCTTCGTCTTCGTCTTCTTCCTCTTCCAAGGACATCTGAAATATTTCAATTATGATTAAACATGGACATTAATATTACTCATCAATGGGCTACAAAAATATTTTAATGTTCACCTCTCCGTCAATAACAAGGTGATTCAGCTGGTCACGATTAATACTCGTTCCTGCAAAATTTAGAATTTTATGCCGATATCCATCCTGAACTATTACTTGATTGTCCTTCAGTTCAGCAAGAATCATATGTGCGTTTTCGCTCGGCTAAAATAACATCAACATAAAATAACACAAATCTGGCAGATAAATGAATACAAACGTGAAAAACATATGTTTATATAAATTTACCTGGCTTTCATCACCCTGCATAACTAAATGAATCCTATTGTCCTGAAGTATAATCTCTTCTTCCGCAGTCAATCTGGGTTGATTAACAATAATAGTATCGTTCAAATGGCCCTGAAAGGAATCATTTGTCGTGAAGCAATTGTTCCAAAGTGGGAATAGTTAAATTATTTTAATGATGAATTACTTGTGATTGCATGTGGGCATACAATAATGGCTTTCGCATGAATCCTGCTCCACAAATTAAACATTCATAAGGCTTTTTATCACTATGAATAAACCTGTGAGCATTTCGATTATCCCGACTGTTGAAGGCTTTTCCACAAACCTAAGCCAAAGAAATGCATACATTGATCAACTGGAAAGGATTCATAATTATAATTTATCTAAAAATTAATTACCTCGCATAAAAAAGGCTTTTCCCCTGTATGAATGCGCATGTGCTTCTTAAAGTGCTCAGGGTAAACAAATGTTGCCGAGCACGTTGGACATTTGTAGGGTCGTTCGCCGGTATGTGCAGCCTTAATATGGTAATCTAATAGTCTTCTTCTTTTGAAACCTTTTCCACAGTCGTCACACTTATACCTTTTGTCGTTGTAGTGCGTTGCTCTTTTGTGAGATTGCAAATTTGATCTCTGGCTGAAATTTATGATTTATTATGAATTTATTTCAACAGTTAACATTTAGTATAAAGATAATTTTTAATGATTTTCTTTACCTGAAGGTGGCACCACAAAATTCACACTGATATGGCTTTTCGCCTGTATGGGTTCTTTCATGATCGCGAATCTCTGCTTTGCGCGCAAATGCTTTGCCACACGTACGACAAATGAATGGTTTGTACCCGGTGTGAACGATATTGTGAACTTCTAAATTGTGTGCTGAACCAAATGCTTTTCCTAAAATTTACAAGTAAGTATCGAGAAACAATGGAGTATTGTAAGTATTGCAGACTAAAAAAATATTAGAATATTTTAGTCTCACCACAGGTTGAACAAACGAAATCCTTGATGCCGTTATGCGTTTTTAAATGCTGAGATAAATTTTGTTGACTAAGGAAAGTTTTAGGGCATTTAGAGCATGTGTAGGGCCTTGGCCTAATTTCATGAGTCTTGACATGTGCACGGTGTGTGTATTTGGACGTGAAATCTTTATTACATACATGACAAACATATGGGCGGTTTCCAGTGTGAATATTCATGTGTTCATCAAGTAAATTTTTAGAACTATAGCGTTTGCCGCAAATATCACACGACCAGGATTTTATCTGAGGATAATGGATGCGTTTGTGTATTCGGAAGAGCCTCAGATTGTTGAATATTCGATTGCACACTTCACACTGGAAATCACCTGATTCATTTGCGCAGTGTTCATCAAAATGTTTTGATAAATTAGTTCTCTTGGTAAACATTTCTCCGCAAACATCACATATGTACAGCCGAGCGTCATGTTCATTTTTCAAATGGGTAATTATTTCCTTAGCATCTTTTTTTTCATCACTCGTGCACTTGTTACATTTGTAACCGTCTTCTAATTTCACAGCCAACTAAAAAATGTTAAAGTTAGTCGTCAGTCAGCACAAAAGTAATAGAAACTGATTACTGAAATTTTAATGTATCAATACCTCTACAACGTTTTCCTTTTTCTCACTTTTGATCAATTTCTTAATATTTTTTTCTTCCACCAAAACTTCTTCGATACCTGCTTTACCATTATAAAAATCTACATCATCATTATCTTCGACATTTTCTTCATTGTCATCATTGTGGGTATCATTGTCATTATTATCACTAGAATCTACGTGATTACCACAGTGTTTATCTTTTTTCTTTTTTACTGCTTTATTTACTTTAGACTGAAATAGTCGTTCATAATATACGAAATTTATTCAAAATAAAACGTTAGTTTAAAAAATAAGAAACTTACTTCCTTATCCTTGCACGTTTCTGAAATGTTTAAGCTGTTTTCTTTTTTTTTCATTTCTGTAAGATTTTTCAGTTTGACAATTGGCACTGTTTCGAAATTTTCCACATTTTCAATGTAATCGTGATCTACAGATTCATTTGGTGTATTAACATTTGATACTCTGTCTAAAGTTTTCTTAAAAGAATCACAAATTCCTTGTTTTAACTTCTTCAACCTGGTGTTTAATTCATCAACCTGGTAACATAAATAAAAAATTTAATAGCAGTTTTGCAACAGCTCAGTAAAAAATGAACAACTCACTTCATTCACTAGCTTTAAACATTTTTTACATATCACCGATGAATGAGAATTTTCTTTGATAGGTTGTTGCAATATGAAGAAGAGAACGTCAACAATAAAATTTTCTGAAGTTGTAAGAGCATTTTCTCCAAAAATACTGACGACACTTCTAGATGTAGCTCCTAATTTGCCATTGCAAAGTAGGCAGTTATGCTTCTGTTTATCATGTTCTACTGGCATGTCTGCTACTTCTTCAAGTGGAAAATATAATTTAAAAAATTAGATACTACTTCAATAACACTTGTTAAACTATGGTAAAATGCAATGCAAGTGAAAAATAAAAAATTAACAAGTTTTAAACGTATTGTTCAAAAAACATACTGCAAATTCATTGTTTTAACAAAATTTGAAGAAAGCCATTATGAAAATATTGATTCAACAACTGCAGTAAGAACCCCCAGCGATGTTTATCCCGAATTTCGTAAAGTAACAGCGGATTCCGAAAGATTGATGAACGAAAAATGATCCTGGCTGGGGGTAAGTAAGACAACATCATCTTATCGCGGCAGCCGACTTTTTTTCTCCACGGAAAGAGTTGATGCATTTTAAAGTTGTGGCCAAAGAGAGCAAAGAACTTATTGAATTCATTGCCATAAACAATTACAGATTGACAAGTGCGAGAGAGACAGCTGAGTGTACAGCAGCTAGGTGAAATTGGATCAAGAATATAGGAATGAAAAGTTGCCAGCACTGACTTGAAATTTTTGAGTCCTTGGGTTCGGGCGATTGGCAGGGTGGCAGCGTCGACGACGCCATGTTTTTCTTCTTCGCCTCTTCGAGTCTCTCAACAACACAACAACGCGACAATTTACCAAAGTACTTACCTAGTACCTATTAGGTACTCCAGTACTTATTTACGTTTGCACGTTTACTCATTGACTGTGGTGTGGCCCCCAGTCCACTGCACACAAAGTAGCACACACATCTCACACAACTACATCTCTCTTCTTCTGCATTCCCATTTATTTGCCCATATTCTTCCCCTCTCTGTGCCATTTCTCTGCGCGCGACTCATTTGCTTTATTATATTTAATCATGATTACTTTTTATTAATCCCTTTTACATGTACGCGGTTGTTGTAACTAAATTCATGTTTTAATATTGATTCATTCCTTGGCAGAATTTTCTACACAGCATATAATTGTTTATCTTAGTATGCTGTGACTATTTTTTCTTTTCTTTTTTTTCTTTCACTAAAAAATAGTAAATTGTGCCGAAAAAATCTGACTGTTAAAAATTTAATGATTTACAAAAAATTTATTGTAATAAGTCAATAACTTATATGGTATCCTGAGTATTCTGGGTCGCACAATTTTTCCTCATTGTATGATGGTTAAAAAATTTGGTTTTTCCAATAAAACAACTGTAGGGAAAAAATTAAAATAAATTGCATCATTTTTTATTTTTGGAGCGGGCACGCTTACCAACAAACGGCAATTGAAGGATCAAGCCTTGCCCCACGCCCCACGTCCCCGGCCAAAGCGATGTCATATTTTCCTCATGCTGCAGCAGAAACGTATATGTATATTGCTATATATGCTTGACTTTTAGCTCACACACATGTTAGCGGTGCTTGCTTTCTTGGAGCATATCCTTTTAGGATTAGTTTGTGCATGCATGTGTTACTCAGTTTATACGTGATAAACAAGGTATAAAACGGATATTCAATTTCCAGTTGATATCTTCAATAAAATAGGCTTTTTTCACAATAGAATAGGCTAATGTAGTATTGTACTAACGTTATTTTTTACCTTCCAAATAATCTAACCTATACATTAGTAAGTCGTTTTTTCATGTGGTAATTATTAATATCAGCTGGTGTTGTGTCTTTTCCAGTTTATTTGGAAATAAAAGTTAAACATCATCAGTTTGTTACTCTATACTTACGTTTACCTTGTTTTTTCCATTGCAAAAACTTAAAGAACATGAGCATTTTGTTTTTTGATAAATCCTCTTAAGTGGCCTGATTTCAAAAAATCGAAATAAATTTTATGAAAATTTCATGTGTAAACCAGTGCATACAAAACTAATTTATTATTTTCAGTTAAAATGGTGTTGTCGTGTCGTTTTTACAAAGAAAAGTATCCAGAGGTTGAGGATGTTGTAATGGTCAATGTCCGTAGTATAGCTGAAATGGGTGCTTATGTGCATCTATTAGAATACAACAACATCGAGGGCATGATCTTGCTTTCGGAATTGTCCAGGAGACGTATCCGATCTATTAACAAATTAATTAGAGTAGGTAAAACCGAACCAGTTGTTGTCATACGTGTTGATAAAGAGAAAGGTTTGTTGAGTTCTATCATTACAATTGTCCATTTTTTATCTTAGTACTCGTGTGATAATATTCCGTAAATATTAATCATTAAGGTTACATTGACTTGAGTAAAAGAAGAGTATCCGCTGAAGATGTAGAAAAGTGTACGGAACGATATGCCAAAGCAAAATCCGTGAATTCTATTCTAAGACACGTTGCTGAACTTTTGCACTATGAAACAGATGAACAGTTGGAGGAACTTTATCAAAAAACAGCATGGCATTTTGAAGAAAAGTACAAGAAACAAAAAGCATCTGCTTATGATTACTTTAAGCAGTCAGTTGTGTAAGTAAATTAACTCTGAATGCCGTAGTACAATTTTTATATTGATTACCTTAAGCTGAAAAAAAATCGTCATGTTTAACAGGGATCCATCAATTTTAGCTGAGTGCGATCTTGATGAGCATACAAAGGAAGTTTTACTTAACAACATTAAGAGAAAATTGACATCTCAAGCAGTTAAAATTCGAGCAGACGTCGAAGTTGCTTGTTACGGATACGAAGGTATAGATGCTGTTAAAGCTTCTTTGAAAGCTGGCTTGGCTTTGTCTACGGAAGAGCTTCCCATCAAAATCAATTTGATAGCGCCTCCACTCTATGTTATGACAACGTCAACACCAGAAAAAACTGATGGGTTGCAAGCTCTAAATGATGCAATTGAAGTTATTGAGAAAAAAATCACAGCCATGGGTGGTGTGTTTAAAGTGCAAATGGCTGTATGCATAACTATTTTTCCTTTTTTTGCAATATAAATAACCAAGTACTAAATTACTAATAATTTATTACTATTCACAGCCAAAAGTCGTTACTGCAACAGATGAAGCTGAACTGGCTAAACAAATGGAGAAAGCTGAACTTGAAAATGCTGAAGTTGCAGGTGATGATGACGAAGAGGAAATTGAAGGTATGGGCGGTGGTGATTTTAGTGGCGGCGAAGGCAATGAAAATGATGAGAAAGACAATGAATCTGGGGGAGAGGATTAAACTTGCTTACAAAAAACAGAATACAGTGAAAGTCAAACATTGTATAAGAGTGAGTCAACACATCCGATTTTTCTAAGTGAGAAAAATCTACACTGTACATCGTAATTTTACAAATAAAAAAAAATTTTTCAGAGTATTGATAAAAAATTTTATGGAATGACCTTTCCCATATCGTATCGAATAATGTTAATTGTTAATAAAATATTTATATGTATCATTATAGAACTTACTTAAAAATTTGGAAAAGTAATTTTACGATTTGAAAGTTCCAATGATCACTATCCATTGTTCAAAAGTGCGTAAAATACTTGTGATAAATTTTGTTTTAAAAAAATTATGAAATTTCTTTCTTTCATTTAGAATAAAGATTTATTATTCAACTAAAAGCATCTTGGTAACTAAACTTCGTTCTCACATGGGTACTGGAAATGTGGGAGTAAAATAATGGGCCGATAAATAGTTTGAAGTTGTGTTTAATAATCATTGTAGTAAAAATAAGGTTCAGCTTAATCATTAGCGATGGTTACTTCAACTTCTACACCAGGTTCAATGTTGATACTCGTGATTTGTTTGACAATTTCAGAGGGTGAGTACAAATCAATGACCCTTTTGTGGATGCGCATCTGAAAACGATCCCATGTCTTGGAACCCTCTCCACAGGGTGTTTTCCGAGTCGTTATCCTCAGGATTTTAGTAGGCATGCGAACTGGTCCCTTCACCTTCAGCTTCTGCTTTTTGCCTCTCTGAATTAATTCCGAGCACACTAAAAATACATTGTACAACGAGAAATTGAGCTACTCAAGTAATAAAGTATAATCACCAAACCAGATATTAATTACCTTTTTCGAGGGAACGAACATTTCGCGATGTAAGAGTAATTCGGATCCTATGGATAGGTGCAGTTTCCTGGACTGGCTTCTCTGGATTTTCAGCCTTTAAGCTTGCCTAAAAGAATTCCAGTTCCCAACGATTAAGATTAACAATGGATAAAATATTTTATCTATATGCATTTATACATTGTTTAAATATCAACATCAAATAAGCAAAAACAATTTTCTGGATGTACACATTACTAAGTAAATGAGGCATAATAAACATTGAAAATCAAAAAATAATTGGTAATTTTGTCAGCGAATGTTATAAATATTGATTATCAAATAATATGGAGTTACACAGAAAAAACTTACCATGATTTATAAAACCCTCCTGGTCGAGATAATCAATTTATTTAACAGAAATAATTGATCAGCGCTGAACCAGCAGGTTTCGGTACAAGTACACGTGTAGGAAAGAATGAGGGTTAGGTGCGGAACTCACCGACAGTTAGTACAGGTAGACGCTAGCGCCGCCCGACCATGCGGCGTTACCACGATCTACGTCACTGAACTGCTTGCAGCATTATAGGGATCTACCAATCGGCCCTTGAGATTGAGAGCCTTCTCTCGAAACTTTGAAATCACGCCACAACGTGTAAGCACCAAAAAGCTGGTGGCGCTGACTGTTATGAGCCTTCTCTCACCGTTTTTAAAACTCACCACTATATGAAAATTAGGCTAGAGCAGTGGCGCTAGTGCTATGGGGCCAGTCCCATTTGCGTAATACAGCTATAGGTACAGCTTCTGATTTTATCATTCTGGTAAAAAGAGCACGGTGTAAGATTTAAGTGAAGTCATGTGTAGTAATATACTAATATAGTAATAAGTAATCACTTCTAAGTAGTGCCATATGGTCGATTCTATTAAACCATGTAAGTAGAATATCTATACTTTTGGAGTTCCATTTTAAGGTAAAAGATAAATTGTAAACTTGCCGCAAATAGCAAAAAAATGTGTACGTTTTATTGTCTATTTGTGAAATTAGTTGCGGCTCGTTTATAATTAATTAAATGGCTTTACCGTAAATAGTAATAATTATTTAGATCAGCGCCATCTAGCGGTATTTATTTTTTGGCCATTAGTGGCTCCTAAAATTCTCAATCAGAGCAATCAGGATTAGAGCCATTTAGTCAATTATAAACCAGCCGCAACTCATGATGAAGCTATAAAATAAAAAAAATAACAATACATGTGTTTTTGGCGGCAAGTTACCAATCGATTTTTTACTAAAAAATTGACCATATGTATTTATACTTTTCAAATTAAATTTTCGAGCAAAAGATAGAATGTTAACTTGCCGCCAAAAACACATGTCTCGTTATTTTTTTATTTCATAGCTTCATCATGAGTTGCGGCTGGTTTATAATTGATAAAATGGCTCTAATCCTGATTGCTCTGATTGAGAATTTTAGAGGCCACTTTTGGCCAAAAAATAAAGACCGCTAGATGGCGCTGATCCAAATAATTATTGCTATTTACAGTAGAGCCATGTAATCAATTAAAAACCAGCCGCAACTAATCTTATAAATAAACGATAAATAGTTGACATTTTCTGTGTTATTTGCGGCAAGTTTACTATTTATCTTTTACCTGTAAATCGACCTTGAAAAGTATAAATATTCCACTTATCTTATATGGCTTATAAAATCTACCATATTTACAAAATTACAATACTTTGGACCTTTTACCATTAACTCATGGAAGCACAGCCCTTTAACTTTATAGTTTAAATGAACAGTTAACTTATATAATATGTACATACCAAGATTTGTGTTACAGAAATCTTGAACAATGATTAAATAGAAACGTAAAGTAATCAGTCCAAAAGAGACAACTGAAGAAAAAAGGCTTAAAAAAAAAGTTCAGTCACACAGGAAGAGTCTCCTAAAAATGGAGCATTGGATCTCACTCAATCAGAGAAGGTTGGGTTCTTTGTTTATTTATAATACTTCAAATTTACATCTCTGTAATAAATGTATTTTTTATTTAGTGAGATCCAATGCTCCATT